CACCATACACCCACATGTAAGATTCCTTAACAGCTATGCACATTTTTAGGCTCAAATATTTTAGAATTGTTTTCACTGTGCCTGAGCTGTAATTGGCTCAGCTTCCCAAGTGTTGGATCATCTAACTGGAGTGATTTTTGACTCCGAGCCCAGGCACCATATCAAAACATTTATCAATTAATCATAAAAAGTAACTAACATTGTTGTCCACCCAAGAAAAACTGTCACTTACAGACTCATGTATGTTATTCCTTATGAAAGAGCTGCTATATAGAAGTTGATTTCCTGCACAGACCAGGTGGAAAATCTGCTAAAGGCAGAGGTCAAATTTAGTTTAATTTTATACCCTTTGTTAAGAATGTTCTCCCTCTCTCTCTCTCTCTCAAAAAAAAAAAAAAAAAAANAAAAAAAAAAAAAAAAAAGGAAGAAAAAAACCCACCCTTGTGCTCCTTTCCAAGTATTCTAAAGTTAATTCATGTGGAAGAAAAAAAAAGATTAGGATAAAATTTCAAATATTAAATTCAAATGCAGGATTAATGAGTTTTATTTCAAAGCCCTAGAGGTTGTCTGGAATTTAGGACATTTTTTTAGTGGCAGACACGAGACACAGCCAGATGCAGTCGTGTTTTGGACCAGCTCAGCACAAATTTAGCACCTTGAAGGAGAAATTTTATGTCTGTTTTGTAAAGCAAACATTTCAACTTTTCCAAAATCCCTTGTCCAAAAGATATTATTGTTGCACTGGATGAAGGAAGGGATTTGAACTGAGGCTGACTGGTTTCTCCAGCACAGACAAATTGCCACCCCATCACCATCCCTGTAGGTGATATAGGTCTCATGCCCCATGCAACAGATCCATATAAATCATATCTTTATTTTTTAATAATGTGGAACAAGATAGATTAAAAAAAAAAAATAAAAGAAAATAATTGAACCATTTCCTGAAGCCAAATTTAAGGCTGTCCTTGTGACACTCTGCAGGAAAGAGCTTTTTGCAGCTTGGTTTCCCCAAGAGCAGCAGGGAAGGGCTTGGCAGAGGTACAAACCCCATTCTTCTCACGCCCTCCAGCCAGCATGGCAAACCCAGGGCTCAGGGGCTGCTCCCCTTCACACCCTCTCCCCAAGGCAAAGCCCTTGGAGGCCAAACCTCCCCTTTCATTAAAAGATGTTGTTATCATCCCAAAAATTAATATCCTTCACTCCCTCCCTGACAGGGCTGCTCCCAAGAAGCCCCAAGTATCAGTCGTGTTTCAGGTCACCATAGTTTGTTCAGAAAAAGAGAGAAATTCCTGTTTCCAGAGCAGTGATGGCTTGGGAAGTGTTGGTAGCACCTGTGGATCTCAGCCTGCAGATCCAGAGCAGGTGGTTGGGCCACAGTGTCTTTTGGGCAGCCAGAAGGCCTAAACATTGTCCTGATGGAAATAAAAAAATTAAATCCCTGTTGAGTTCAATGGAAGAGGAAGGTGATCAACATTGGGTTTCATATTTTATGTATCAGCATTGAAATCTTGATGGGAAAGAACCAAAACCTTGCAGTGAACACCTTCAAACATTGGAATCCTGTCTTAAAAGATTCCAATTATAGCAAGAAGAAAACACTGGTGTTTCAGTTTCACATTCTGGCACTTGATCAAATGGACATACCACAGTCTGTAAATAGACCCAGAAAACTGAAAAATCATTCCAATTAAATTCCTTCATTGCCTTAGAACTCTGACTCACCTATGGACAATCAGTGGAATTAACATCAACAGATAATTAGGACTTGGTGATAGGAAAGCTTCAGATTGACTTTTCCATTTAGAAAAACATTCACAAATTTATTTTTTTTTATTTCTTTCTGGGATGAAAATCCTACAAGAACAGGTTTTCTCCCCTCCAGTACAGAACAAAAATAGTCCATGGAAACAGCCTCATCTCACAGTATTTCAAAATCAGCAAGTGTGAAAATATAACAATATAACAAAATATAACAATAAAACAAAATATTATGCAACGTAGCAAATATACTTTAAAAATTCCTAAAAGATTTTTCTGAATTTCAGCTAAATTTTTGGGTCAATCCAAATTTTTTCCCATCTGATTGCTCATAATCTCATCCCATCTCTAGCCCTTTTCAACAGCAATGGAAGTTTGGATTCAAAGCTTCATTTCCAAATGGATTTTCTTGGCCAGGATGGGAGAAGGTGGATTTGATTGTCAGGAATTTCAGATTATAACAGCCTGGAGCTGTTCTGAGTGCAACACTGAGCCACCACCAAAGGAAGGGCAAAGCTGTGCAAGGCAGTGGCAGCTGCTCTGACTACAGCCACGTTTCATTCACATGAGGCCAGTGCCTCTTTTGGTCTTTCTCACCTCTGAAATCAACCCCTAACATGGCTTAAAGCTGAAAAGCATCATAAAAATCAAAAATTTTACCAAAATTTGCTGAAGATTTGATGTTTAACAGAAAGGCCTTGCTATATATTATCAGTGGCACAAGCTTATGCTTCATTTTGGATATAATAAGAAATGTTTTATCCCTAGACACTGCTTTGCACATGTTCAATCTTTATCTAAACCTCACAGTTTGACACTCGTGTCCAAAAGTCCCCAGATCAGTTGCATCACTCTGACCCATTGTCCAAGGCCAGCTGAACTGGAGGCTGAGCCAAGGGACACGTTATCCAGAGGAAAACAGCAATAGCTGAAACGTATCTGAGGCACCAACAGGATGTGAACCCTTCACAACATCTTCCTCTGCTGAAAAGCAACCAGCCCAGCACAATGAGAGCATTGGGCTGCCACCTGCACCCCCAGCACCTCCCAAGGCTGCTTGGCTGCAGAGATTGGATGGTTTTCCATTCTTGGCCTGGCCTCTGGTGGGAAATATTCCCGCAGCTGGATGTGAACAAAGAGTGAGGCATCCCAGTGAGTGGACAGGAGGCTCGAGCCAAGCCCTGGCCTGGGTGGAAGCCTGTTCCATGACCAGTTGCTCCACACCTGGCTCGGAGCTTGGGGATGTCCCGCATGGAGCCATGAAGTTTTATGGGCACTCCATCTATCATTACATCCAGGGGGAAATAAAAAGAAAAAAAAAAAAAAAAAGAGCAGCAAAAAGAATAAAACCAAGATTTTTATGGGCCTAGGAGGAGCTAACCTGGAAATATCACTGGCACAAATAGAGCTGTTGAGCAGACAATAGCACTGGGGTATTGCCATGGGTTTGTTTACCCAAACGTGGCCGTCCTCGCTGTGAGGTCCCCACCCTGCGGCTCCCCAGGCTGGGGAGCTGGTGGAACACAAGCTGTGATTGCCATGCTGACAGCTTTATTGCCTCCCTGACCTTGCTATTTTTAAGGGAACAGGTTATCTCCGTGATGTAATCAGGTCTTCCTCGTGCTGGGAGGTCATTCCCACTGCAGGGAGCTGGAGCCTTTGGTCCTCGCTCGCCTTTGGAATGCCAAGTCAGCTGTTCCAGGTGGCCAGGAGCTTATGGCACTGGTTGGACTGAAAGCTATTGAGATTGATTCTCTTTTCTTAAATCACTCAGAAAATACAGCTTTGGTTCCCTTCTTCAAACCTAGTTTATCCAAATTGGTAAGGAGAATTTAAATATTCAAATGTTGGGGCTTGAAGCTTAAAAGAGCATCAGTGAGATTGATTAAATGTGTGTTTGTGTTAGGAGTGGGAAAGTGCAAGTTATAGTTCACAAGTGATTCTCTGGACTGAGTGCAATAAGTAAATAATTGATAAAAAATATTGTTGCACTTCCATTTTGAAGGTTCTCATTGCAAAACAAGTGGACAGAACGGCCAGACCTTCAATTAGGGAAAATAAAATTTCTCAGTGGGCTGAGTTCTACAGAGTTATTAAAGGCTTTATGTCAAAATTATCTTTCTGGAGAAGACACAGCCATGATTTCAGCAAATGCTAAAAACTTGGGAAATTAGAAAAGCATTTACTGATTTAGTAACTACTTATCCAACATTATCAGTATGTAAACTATTTCCTCAGAATGATATTACTTAAAAGCTCTCTCTTATTTTAGATTCCTGTCTCCTGTCCTAATTCCATCTGACATCCACAGCAAAGGTTAGATGAGCTCTGTTGGGAAGCATTTTTCCAGCTCCCATGGGAATGAAACACCTTTTCCAGTCTCAGCTGGAATGAGGAAATTAAAAATAAAAATTAAGAATTAAATCCTATTTGAGCCAATGCAGTCCAAACACAGCCAAAGGTGTCCAAGGTGCTCCAGAGAATTTCTCCAGTCCTTATTCTTGTTGATCCCAGTGTCAAGTTGGTTGTAGAACCCAACCACAAAACTGCCTGGAAGTTTCCTTGGTTTCTCTCAGCTTGCAAGCCTCAAATCTTGAGGGATGCATTAAAAGAAATGGTGGCCCTCTCCTCCTCAGTTCCTATGGAATGGGAAAATGGGTTTATGGGCCATTAAACCCCTCCATTCCTTCAGAGATGCTGGAATGGGCACATCTGAGACCTCCAGGGAGCAGCCAGTGGGTGTAACCTGCACAGGGACACAGTTCCCACAACGTCACAGCAAGGAGAGGTGAGCTGGAGCAGAAATAAATCCACTTTCTCACCAAACAAATCCACTTTCTCACCAAACACCCTCCTATTTTTCCCGAGTCCAGATAAGCAAATTAAAAATGATGTCATGGCTCCCCCAGGACACTGCAGCACGCTGCCATTTGTCCAGCCAGAGTACAACTCCTATTAGTGTGATATAACACAGTAGTTGGGAACTCAATAGGAAAAACAGAGCTGGAATTTAATAAAAAAACCTCTCCAGCTTTTAACGCATTGCCCTTAGCACACAGAGCTACTGTAAGTGAGTGCCTCAACATGAACACTCTGAAGACCAAAGAATTAAAGTAAATGCAATCAGCAGATTACTAAATACCAATGGGAAATTTAGAGCTATAGAGCAAAATCCCAGAGCATTAAAGGATTTACTGCTTGGCATTGATGAGAAGCAAATCTTTGGATTTCCATTTCTATCCTTAATTAGCAACTGAGGTTTATTTTAGTCTAAACTAAGTCACAAAAGATAACACACCCTAAAAGAAAATAGATAGCAGTGCAATAAGCTTCATAAAACATCTTATTAAAAATTAGAAGAAAAAAATAACAGATTCAAATGGAAAATCAATTTCCAGGACTTCCATTTCCTTTTGTTTTCTTGTCTTCCCACCCATGCTCAGCTGTTTTCTAATAACATTCAGCTCTTTGCTAGCAGGGTTACCAAGGGTGGTAACAAAGATAGCATTGGAAACCCAGAAGGGAGGCTCCCTTTTAGAAGGGACATTTTGGGAGTGTTCTTGCTCCTTCACAGCTTGGGGTTTGAAGATTTGCTGTCTCCCTGCCCAGTTCCCACTGGAAGAGGGATCTAAAAAGGATGAGCCGTGTTCCACGTGGCCTCAGCTGTGTGAAAAGCAGCTGTGTGAAATTGAGTGGTTTTTATGGATTCTCTGGGACTGGGGAAAGACAAGGCTCTTCTGCTCAGTGAGGAGACCCCTGGCTGGTTCTCCACTGATCCCACCTACCATTTACCCTGCTGGTGATGTGCTCCCAGCAGCAGCTTTGTCAGGGTCTGCTGGAGCATCCTGGTTTGCTGGAGCGCTCCCAGCTGCCAAGATGCACCAGGGATTTGATGTCTGGTCTCCTGACCTGGGATGCAGACTCCCAAGGCACCATTTCCAGCACAGCTCCTGCCGTGGCTTCAGGAAAAGCTGTAAAATATAAGCAGCTGCTTCAGAACAGGAGAAAAGCAAAAGTCTGGGAGTTAAATCTGAAGAAATTTGTAATAATGGGGCCAGTCCCAACAAACCTCATGATTCAGTGAGAAGGAAGCTGAGGTCCTGCTGTTAATCACTCCCTACTTTTCTCCCTTCACCAGAGAGCCCAAGAATTCATTTGGTCCACATAAAAATTACCAGTGGAGTGATCTGAGTGTGATCCAGATCCACAGATCCATCCCTCCATGGCTTCACAGTCCAGGATTCAAATCAAATCCAGCTCCGGCATCAAACAGGTCATCTAGGCCTGTGAATCACCTAAGGAGAGAAACTCCATTAAGTTAAATCAAGTGTAGAAGTTGCCAAGTTGGTATCCAGCACTCAAAAATTATTGGATGGTGTAAGAATTATTTATTTTAAAAATCCGACTTTGAATAATTTTTATTTATCTTCTAGTTAGCAGTCCATTGGGTTGAAAACTGGATACTTATTGGAAATTGACAAAGTTTTCATTGTGTGCTAAAATAATTAGTTATGCATCGGAAAATGCATTGATTATAGTCAAAAATTGCAGAAGCTGTCCTTAAAATAAATTATCAAATAAAAAATAAAGTTTTCATTCATAAGAAATTAAAAGGAAAAAAACCCAAAACCATAGCCACAACCAAAGAAAGCAAAACCCTGCAACCCTTTAATGAATTACTTAACAAGTGGTGATGCCTCAATCTGTGGTCATTCATTACACCCTGATTCTCAAGGAGAATCCTGAATGAGCACAATCTGGAGGCACTGATGGATATCTGCCCATCCCAGCCTTTATCTCAGAGCCCGAGCAGAGGCTTTAATGCATTTCGGGTTTGTGACACCTCTGCTATCGCCAGGAGGGACAGTGACAGCGGGGATGTGATGGACGAGCACCGTGGCAGAGCCAGGAGCTGGGATGTGAGGGTGCCCTGCCTTAGCTCAGCGAGAAAGAGACAAAGCAACTCCCTCCCTTGTTTTTTTAATTTGTTAAAATAACACCTCCATATTCCCAGGGGCAAATGTCAGGAATAATTGCATGCAAATTGCGCCGGAGTCACGCTGAGGCACCCAGTGCCACCCAAGGGCTCCTGAAGGGTTAAAATCGAGGAGTTCAGCTAATTTACAACTGGAGACCTTTATCATCTCCCGGTGACTTTGAGGGCTCACATTTCGCACTTAATTACTCGTCCAGCAATCAGGCCCGGGCTGAGAGATAGATGTGTTCTGTGTTTAGCCCTCGCAGCTGTGAATTGTTTATTTACTTATCGTCAGGCCGGGAATGGCTGCAATTTAAAGGTTCAGATCTCTGCTACCCTGAGCTGGGGAAGGTCTTCCTTTAAACACTTCCATATTCCGCGCTGGAATTCCGCTGGAGATGCCCATCTTCTCCTCCCTCCCGTTCCGGCTAACCAGCAGGTGTTCCTGGTTAGTGGCCACTGGGGTTGTTCGAGCCAAAGAGCCGCTGCCAAGTTCACAATCGGGACGAGGAATCTGCAGAGATAAATTGGGGAAGGTGAAAAGCGGGCCAGGGAGATGAGGGGAGATGAATTCCAGCGGCCCGGCTTCCGTGGGATGGCGCGATCCCTATCTGGGACAGCTTCAAACGGTGGCTGCTAAGAATTCCTAGGCCAAATGGTGTGATTACAATTTCAGCTGTCAAATGGTGACCAGATGGCTTTATCTTTCACACCAGAGGCCTAAGAAGTTGGTTAGGTGTGACCTCTCCACATACCAATCCACCTGCAGAGCACCAAGGCCTGCAAGGCCTGGAATTCAGGCATTCCCAACATGCCCATCCTCGTCTTTGGGAATTTTGGAGCAAAGCTGTGTGAAACCAACAGCATCAATTTTCACAGGGTCACATCACCCTCCAGTGCAGCACCACCAGCAATGCTGTGGGACCACTTAGGGGCCTGGGGATTACAACAGAAAATTGAATGGAAGGGCCAAAACTTCAACTATTTTCTCAAGAATCAAATCCCCTACTTCTGGGAGAAAAGGATTTTTCTCCATCTTTGCCCTTTTTCTGTCTTACAGCTTTACTTGAAAAACACGACTCAATCAGTGGTGTTACTACTATAAATGTACCAAAAGTAATGTTTTAATTAGGTTTCTCCCTCTAGGCAAGGATGTTTCTAGGAAGAAGGGTAGAGGACACAGCTAATAATTTTGTAGACAAAGCTGGGAGGTGATAGCACTTTGTGGAATTTCCAGTTAGTCCAAATAGAGGCTTCCTTGTTTTTTTCCAGTAGTTTATTTTATTCAGAGACCACAATGTCATTTGCCCCTCTCCCAGAGTTGTGTATCTTAAGGTCCTTCCCAAACTCTGTATTTCAGCCCATGAGGGTTACTGGGTTACAAAGAGGGGATGATCCCTGTTATTTTCTTGAGGCACACACAGACTTCTCATCTACCCAGGAAAGAAAGAATTGTGCAGGGGAAGAGAATCTCAGTTCCATGGCCAGAAAAGGACATTTCAGAAGGAAAATTGTTGAAATTCTCTGCCAAGATGGAAAAGCTAAAATGGTCTGAGCATCCAGGCATCGCTGAAGGAGGAGAGGATGGTGGAGGGAGCAGACTGGACATATCACCTAAAAAATCCATTTTAGCTCCAGGAGAGGGGCTGTGGGCACAGCCCAGCCTGAATTCCCAGCAGCAGCAGCAGCTCTGGAGGTCAGGGGCTTGCTGGGGAATATCCCATGACCTGTTCCAGTGCCACAGGCAGCTCCCTGCAGCCTCCAGGAAAGCCTGGCTGTTCCCACACGGAAAGCACAGAGCTTTGCAGCAGGTCTCAGATTAGAGCAGTATTAAAAGTAAGGACTTTGGGGTCGATATTAACCCCAGAGAATTCTGCCTGTGGGCAGGTGGAGGGGCTGACAGACATCAACAGCAGCAGCAGAGTTTCTGCCTCCAGGCTCTTGCAGCAGCCAACTGCTTTTGATTTAAAGAAAAGGCTTTCCTGTCCTGTGCTCTTATGAGAAACACACTTTTCTCCCAGTCCCAAGGTTATTTCTATCCCACAGATGAGGAGAAGGGGATGCAAGCTGACAGGGAACATGGCAAGGAAGTCTAAAGCACAGAGGTGCTGCTTCCTAATATTTTTTTGTATTATCATCACCACTGCTGTGGGAACAAATTACCAATCTCTGCAAGTGATCATTAAAGTGTTTTAATAATAATATGTAAAGAGAAAAATAGATCAGAACTTTCTAGTCTTGAAGAATTATAAGAGATATTATTAGACATACACAAAGAAACAAAAATGCAGATAGTTCCAGGGTGATTTGGATTTTCTCAGAAACAGATCTACAATCATCTGTGTCACTTCAGTAAAGCCAAAGAAACAAGAAAAGAGCCTCCATAGGCATAATTGAATTAGACAAAATCCTGGAATTTGATGAGAGATAAAGTTACCACTAATTCTCTTTAAGAAGAAAAAAAAAAAAAAAAGAAAAAAAGAGATGAAATTAAAATGTCAAAAGAGCAGTGAGCTGCTAAATTGAACCTTCAGTGTTGGGGGCATTCACGGTTGTGTTGGCAGCGCATCCGTGGAGGCACTGAAGTAAAAACACCACAAATGAGAAAGAAAACACCCAAAATGTAACTTTGAAAAGGAATTAAATGAACAGCACAGAAATGGTTCAGGATTTACAAAAGAGAATCGCAAGGCAGAAACAAACACAAGCAAAACCTGGACCAGCAACAGCCCCGTATGTACAAATGTGCTGGGGCTGGGACGAATTCTGTGGGCTGGATTAATGAGAGGGGTACCAAAGACATGGACCCAGCCAGATCCCAGGCTGGCCTCCACCCATTGCCACAGAAAATGGGAGAAATATTTGTTTCTTCAAGTTTTTTGCAATTTTTCTCCTTTGTTTTACTTTTTGCTTCTGCTGACGTTGAGCTGACAGCAGCGGCGCGGGGGTTCAGGGCTGCAGCCTCAGCTCAGGGAAGTGGGGATTTTCAGAGAACGATGAAAATTTAACTCAGATGAACCTTGCCCTGATTTAACAGACATAAAATGAGAGAAGGGAACTTCTCAGGTTCTCAGGCCAGCAGAGGAATTATTGCAAGAAGTCTGTGACAGAGGGATGAAAGGCAATGGGCACAGGGAGCTGTTTCAAAGGTGAGCGCAGAGGCAGAGGGGAGAGGATCCCTTGTGCTGGTTCCCCAGCCCTGCTGCTTCACTCTGCCTTTTCCCACACTTAAAGGGAAGCAAAACATTTCTCTGAGAGCCTGAGGGAACCCAGAGAACAAGGTGGGCAGGGAAGGATGTGCCAGGAATCTGTTTGGTACCAGAATGCTGCCCTAGCGTACAAACAGGGAGCGAGGCTCCCACAGTGAAGTGACTCCCGTATTATTTTTGTCCCAAATACACAAAACGCTGGTTATAGCAATCATCTAGGAATAATATCAGTCCCAAATGCCTTTTTTAACCCAAGAATTTGCAGCAGAGCACTGGAGAGATGCACTTCTGCCACTGATGGTGATGCTTTTGCAGCGCTGGGACCTGGGGGCCAAGAAAATCCCATTTTTTGACTGTTGCTCATCACCCCCTTGACATTTCAAAGAGATTTTATCTGTCTGGCATGGAAGATTTCCCAAACTGTTTTTATTAGGAGGACTTTTGTATGCCAGCAATGAATATTACTCTATTACTGAAAGGAATCAAAAGCTAAAGTGCCTGCGTGTACAGTTAATCTATCCAAACAGAAAATGTTTCTTAAAAAATTACGGCACTATTTTTATAACAAACCTCAGCCAAACTCCAAACTGAATAAATGGAATGTGTTCTTTTAAAACCAATTTATTTTTTTAATCGTGGGCAAGAAGTCGTTTCCTTGCTTTCATTCATCAGGTAATGCTTCATCCCCCCATATTTGTGTGAGGAGATTTGTTCTGTCGGGGGGTTTTTGCTTTGGAGGCATCGGATTGAACCATTCCCAAGGTTGGAAGGTGGATGTGAGCCTGGGATGGCATCACAGCCAGCCTGTGGTTTCTATCTCTTTTAACAAAACCACGGACAAGGCAAGAAAATGTCCTAAAGGGGCCAGGAGTGATGGGGAAGAGCCACCCTAAAACCCTGATCCACCTAAATAAAGTATCAGGTCAGAGCCATAGGAATTTCTATAGGATTATACAAAGACCTATTCCTGCTGAAACGTTCTGAAGGCAAAACACTGTCTTTATGTTATTTAAAACTGGCCTGCACACTCATTACCACAACGTAATTATCATTAGGGCTGCTTAAAGCAGAGCTTGGCCTTTCCTAATTTATACTCCCCATTATTATTACGGTTTTACTTTAACTAGAAACCCGTGCAGAGCCCTCCCTGCAGTTTTTCAGTATTTATTTAGACTTGCACCGCTGCCCATGACCACAATTTGAATGTCCCAAGCCTCATCCCACGATCTCTCACTCCCCAAAATGCTGCGCATTTTTTGATGCCGTCACGGAGAGGAGTCGGACCAATCAATTCCCAAACAATTCCCAAACAATCCGCAGCCTGCGAGGACCCTAAAATGTGGTTAAACATTCCTAGAGGAGGCGGTGATGAATAGGCAAGCAGGGTAACCCGACCCCCAGGGCTTCAACATCCCCTTTTTGTTTGTTTGTTTGTTTGTTTGTTTTTATTCCTGAGCTTTCCAGGAGTTTCAGCCTCGAGCAAACCCGGGGGCCTTAAAAAAAAAAAAAAAAAAGCAAAATAAACCAAAAAAGCACGAAAAACTTTAATTCCTACAACCACGTCGCTCATTTGAGTACGTGGCTTTTAAGAGAATTTTTCTGATTCGAGAAAATAAATTAATTTGAATTTCTCCCTTCTGTTTTTTCGTGGGTGAAAGAGAAACTCTGTGCCATTGCCGAGGGTTTGAGCGCTGCTTTTTCTGCTGCCCTGCTAAAGGTCAAAAGCAGGTAATGGATGTCGAAATTTCCACACTCTGGGGCAAGCTCGGAGCTTGTTGACTTTAATATCAGTTTTCTTCTACCACAGGGAAGAAAAAAAAAAAAAGGAAAAAAAAAAGGGGGAAAAAGGGAAAAAAAAAATCCAGCTCCTCATTGATTTTTCATGGAAATTCACCAATTTCTCCTCGTTTAAGATCTGGTTTTTGATTTCTCCTGGATTATCATGTTGCTCTGCCCCCCCAAATAAAGCCCGGCTTTGTTTCAGCTCGGGATGGTGACATCGCTGTTACTGCACGGGGAAAAATCCCGATGTGCTGGAGGTTGGTGCTGCTACCTCAGAAAAAAGCAAAAAAACCCTCGGGAAAATCCACCTTGAGAAAAAGAGGGAGAAAAAGTCGGAGAAAGCTGGGAATGGGAATGTGCCTTCGTGCAGAGGGGAATG